CTCTCTCTCTCTCTCTCTCTCTCTCTCTCTCTCTCTCTCTCTCTCATATGCCTTTTTATATACATAAGTCACTTTTCCCCTTATAAGGTGAGTGGCTGAGTAAAGGAATAATGCTCTGACTTTCTGGGAAGAGAAAGTACAGAGAGGGGGTCTCTCATTCCCTTCGCTCCGCCCCACTTAGTCTACTCTTACGACAAGCACGGGAACATGGAAGAAGTATTCTAACCCCCACCCTCAGGAGCTCACATGTATGTATATGTGTGTACATGTGTACATGTATGTGTATATATATATATATATATATATATATATATATATATATATATATATATATATATATATATATATAGAATATATGTATGTATATATATATATATATATATATATATATATATATATATATATATATATGTGTGTGTGTGTGTATGTCTATTTGTATCAATAATTACTACTTTTGATTCATAATTCTCTCTATATACAAAAGCTGTAGTAATGATGATGGTAATAATAATAATAATAATAATAATAATAATAATTATAATAATGATAATAATAATCATAATAATAATAATAATAATAATAATAGTGATAATAATAATAATAATAATAATAATAATAATAATGATGATGATGATGATGATGATGATGATGATAATAATAATCATGATGGTGGTAGCAATAGTTGTGATGATAGTGATAATGGATTAGTTGACGTAATTCTCTCTCATGTACATAATTTGAAGGGTAGAGAAGGGGGAGGGCTTTCAGTCTTTCTCTTTCTTTTCCTTCCAAATTTATCTTCCATTATATGGCACTGTGTTTATGTGTATGTATGTATGTTCTGGTTTATATGTGTATGTATATGCGATTAATTATATGCACTTTCCTTTGCTGTGTTACCCTCAGATGACAATGATGTGTATGAGTATGCATGCATGCGTCTTTATCTGTGGTAAGGACGAATAACTCCTTTTGCTGAAATGAATACCACAAACTCTCTCTCTCTCTCTCTCTCTCTCTCTCTCTCTCTCTCTCTCTCTCTCTCTCTCTCTCTCTCTCTCTCTCTCTCTCTCTCTCTCTCTCTCTCCTTGATATGTATGGCTATGAAGCCTCAGTGGTGTTTCTATTGCTCATCTAATTAATGCATGCATATATATATAAATATATATATATATATATACATATATATATATATATATATATATATATATATATATATATATATATATATATATATATATATATATATATATATATATGTACCTACTTGTTATTCTAACCTGAAAATTGTTATTCTATATCTGCTTCAAATTGTCTGCAGTAGGACTGTTGAAAAGTGAAATGTAACTTAAATGACAGCACTCAATAAGGGCTATTGAAAATATTGTTACAAATATTACTCTTCAATTACTCTTCAATTATTACACTATATTTTATTATTAAGTACTTGCTATGATATTTAAAATTAATTGCAAATTCTATTAATATGTTATTTATACATAACCAATTAGATTGTAATGTTTATCATCTGCAATATGACTGGGAGTGCCCATGTGCACATGTCCCCATGTACAGTTATCTGAATAAATAAATAAAAAAAGAGCTAGCTAACCTTTATATAAAGGCGCTGTTTCGACAAGTCTCCCTCATATATCGCGGGTTTCCAGATTTTCTGAAGCCAAGTGGAGCTGCGAGATTCGCGCCCAGTTGAAATAATATATTTATTGTTTACAATTGATAAAGAGAAGAAATGTGGCAGCCTTCTATCCCCAAGGAGCTAAGAGGAATAGTTGAGGTATGTTTGGATTGTTGTCAATGTGTGTTCCTTGGCTCGTTCACCCCCTTATAAGGGGGAATGAGTCTATGTATGATAAGGAGGGGAAATGTGGCAGCCCTTTATCCCCAAGGAGCCAAGAGGAATAGTTGAGGTATGTTTGGATCGTTGTGAATGCGTGTTCCTTGGCTCGTCCACCCCCTTATAAGGGGGAATGTGGGCTATGTATATGGCTTTTTACGTTCATATTAAATGCAGAATCCTTAACAGTGATCCAATTTTACGTCAAGGACTCTCTCTCCTATTAAGGGCTAGGGCGGTGCTTCCCTTTTCGAAAGACTTTGGTTTTGGCAATGTGCGAACGTTATAATAAGTGAATGCCCTTTCTAACTTCAGACCGTGGCGGATCTCGAACGTACGAAATAACGAATTAAAGTCACGTGTTCTACCATCCGGCTACTGCGGCCATTTCTTGTAATATGTGCATATTAATAAATATATTCTTCTCGCATACTATTATGACCTGCCAAAGCAGAATGTGACCTTCACTCTGTGCGAGGTCAACCTTACTAATTTGCTTGAGAGGTGGTTCTTTCAGCTTAGGTCACGGTTTTTTGACCGCGGTTGGTTTAACCTTTTATATCGGTGGGTTAGAGGTCACGGTACTTGGCCAGCTGCCGATATTATTGAAAGCCTTCAAGTTATCGCTGACTAGTTTATTATACATGTACATGGCCCCGTTCCCCCTTGTAAGGGGGATGGCCGAACCAAGAAACACTCATTCACCACGATCCACCCATACCTCAACTACTCCTCTTATATCCTTGGGGATAAAGGGTTGACACATTGCCCACCACCACCTTGCTTTGGTCGTCCACAAGGTCGGCGGGCAAGGATATTCTACAGTGAGAACCGACAGCCGCAGCTGGTTTTCTCATGACCCGATACAACGGCAAACCCAGACAACCTAGGTCGGATTTTTTTTAGATTGTTTTTTTATTGTGATACCGGGACGGGCAAAGAATATTTTTCCCATCGGACCCGAGCACTAAGAAGCATTATAAAGAAAAAAAGGAGTGGCCTAAGAACAAGGCAGAAATAAGAGAATAATATAGAATTATAAAAAGACAGGCTGAAAGAATACGAAAGTAACAAAGACCTTGAAATATTACGGGATTTGGCCCTGAGCTGCGGATAGATCAGCTTTTTAAAGGAAGAAAGGTCATAAGAGTTAGGTAAGACAGAAGAAGGAAGAAAGTTCCAGTCTTCAGTAGGAATACAATGGGAATCTTAAGAGTTGAATTTCAAAACATGCTTAAAAATAGCATTCACAGCGACTCCACATGAAAGAATGAATGGCATTAGTCAAAAAATAAGCTGAAAAGAAGTTTGAATTTTTTTCTTTAAATATTAATTTTTTTTACTGACTTTTTTAGAGTCTTTTGGCATAATCAGTTGCCACTGACGCTTGTGAAATATTATGTCAGTTTGTAATTAATTTTACGGACATTTAATTTCGATAGGCTATGTTATTCCAAAAAACAAGAACTATATTATTATTATTATTATTATTATTATTATTATTTTATTATAATTATTATTATTATTATTATTATTATTATTATTATTATTATTATATTATCCCATTCCTTTACTTTACTAGCCTAGCCTAACTTTTTATATTCTTTATTTTTTATTAGGCCATTATCTATACATGGGGACATGTGTGCGCGCAGGCGCTCCTTTTGATATAAATATTTTTACTTGAGAAGTTTATATTACAATTGTAATCATACTAAAATCAACTACTGAGAAAAGGGAGTCCGTGACGTAAAACCGGAACATCATTGCTATAATTTTTAATTATTTTTTATTTTACATAGATCAATATTATTGCAATATTAAATCTTCCAATTTTATAATATCCTTCTTTTATCCTAATTATACATCTCTATTTTTATTTTATATCTATATATTGCGTCTTCTAATTTTTTTAAATCTTCATCTTTCATTGCCTATTGTATATTTCTCTATTTTTATATTCTTACTGGAACCGTATTACATTATATATATATATATATATATATATATATATATATATATATATATATATATATATATATTTTTCAATCATTACCCATTGCCCTGCAAAGCGCCGGAGACAATTTCAGCTTTCCTCGGTAGTATAGTGGTTAGTATCCCCGCCTGTCACGCGGGAGACCGGGGTTCGATTCCCCGCCGGGGAGGAAACTTTTTTGTTTATTTTATTTATTTTATAGATAGATACTTTATGATAGACTTGTTGTCATATAGTACTCAGGAGTTAAATTAATTTATAATTAATAATTCTTATAATTAACGTTGATTCGATAGGATCCTTTATATATATATATATATATATATATATATATATATATATATATATATATATATATATATATATATATATATATATATATATATATATATATATATATATATATATATATATATATATATATATATATATATATATATGTGTGTGTGTGTATGTGTGTGTGTGTGTGTGTGTGTGTGCTTATTAATGTATTTTTGACAAAAGTATTTTGTTAAGGTATATACTTATGGAATAATTATGCCTAAAATTGTATTTATTACTCATGTTTCATGGTATTTTTATGCTTTCTTGAATATTGGTAGTAGTAGTAGTTTTAATACTACTGTTATTTGTAGGAATATAAATAATGCATTATTATTATTATTATTATTATTATTATTATTATTATTATCATTATAGTTGTTTCATTATAGCTATTATGATAGTTTAATTCTTATGTAGCGTTACTATGATAATTATAATATATAACAAGCGTAAGTCATGCAAGAATATTATTATCATTATTATTATTATTATTATTATTATTATTATTATTATTATTTCTAATTTATTATTATTATTATTATTATTATTATTATTATTATTATATTATTATTATATGTCTACTACAACTACTACTACTGCTACTATTACTACTACTACTATCGTAATTAGCTTCCAACTCGGCATCGAGAAGAGAAAATAATATATAATAATTACAAACTACATAATTTATGGGTGTAATATTAGAGTAGAAATTAATTATTCAACAAATAAATGTTAAAATCCGATATATCGAAAAAGAAAATATCTGGTAAAAATAACATTATATAACAGGCAGAAAAATATAGCAATGGGGTCATTACATATGCCAATGGTGGTTCAATGATAGATTTCTCGCCTGCTTCGCGGGAGGCCCTGGTTCGATACCCGGCCGATGCTAAAGATTTTTTCTTTAAATTTTCTTTCTCCGATAAATTAAAGAGAAATCATGTAATAATTATGGTTATATAAAGGTATTTATATTTTTTTCCTGTTTATGAGTATTGATTTATGTATGTTTTAGATATATTTATATTTATCAGAGCATACTTATATAATGTATACTTTTGTGTGTGTGTAAGTTATGGACCCGCGATCGACTGTAAGACGGGCAACTAGCCTTATATCCCCATAGCCAACATGTCTCTGACCACCCTTGATGTGGGGATTAAAAGTAATAATATGGCAAGCAATATATATATATATATATATATATATATATATATATATATATATATATATATATATATATATATATATATGTGTGTGTGTGTGTGTGTGTGTGTGTGTGTGTGTGTGTGTGTATGTGTGTGCCTTGTTCTTAAATGTATATAAGTCTTAAGCGTACGTATATTCAAGTTATCTCGTGCCAAATTCATAAATGCAAGTGCGATCGTTACCTAGAGTGAAAGCCCTTTCTAACCTCAGACCGTGGTAGGTAGCGAACCCACGACAACGAAAAAAAATCGCGAGCGTTACTACTCTTCCACAGTAGCCTCAAAGTGTTAATTATATACCACTGGAGTCGAAATTAGCATCATATAACATTGAATCTTCAAGAAAAGGTGATATTAGTTACATTCAATTTGAGACTTATTTCATGATAACCTGTTAGTTCGTAAGTCGGGACATACGTGGGTATTCTGGTAGGAAAGTTCCAATAAGACACCTATTGGGTATGTGTGCTTTTACTCGGACATCCTCCTTATCCGTGGGTTTTTGCAGCCTTTATCAATGAAAAAAAAACTGATTATATAAGGCATGATTCATTTACGCACTGAGTAGATAAATATGTAAATAAAAAAAAACACTTTTTATACAGGGAAACACACCTTCAGCTTCTTTTTCAGGTAAATTCTTTCCAGAGTTACTTCCGGCATTTTTTCTTTCGTTTCTTTTCTGTTCCACAGATGAAAAAGAAATGCCTTTCCTTTTTGTAACCCCATACACAATCCCCTTTTCCACTTTTTGTTCCTTGTTCACTCCCTTCCGATCCATCTATTGGCCACCCACTCCGTACTTTGACCATTCCAGCAAGACCCACTTCCAGCAATATCTTTTTGTATATTCTTCTTCTTTATCAGCAGGTCTTGTGGGGTCGCTGTTCCAGAATAGCCTCTTTGAGTCTAGGGTTGAACTTTGGTCCGAAGTTTAGCGGTCGTGTGCATTTCTGACACCAACTCTCCATTAATCCTGGCTTAGGACCGACTGCATTTTGAGCTGGCATATTCCCCCAGTATCCGTATTCTTTATGTGGCTCAAAATGAGGTTCGTTTCCGGTCTGTCGGTCTCGTTTTTTTATCTCTCTTTTGAAAGTTCATCTTTTGTAAGGCTTGGTTCCTCTTAATGGAGTCCTCTTTTGATGATCGTTGTTCCTCTTATTGTGTTATTATTTTGATGGCTTAGTTCTTCTCGCGTATGTGTGTGCGTGCGTCCGTGCGTGTCTGTGTGTGTGTGTGTGATATATATATATATATATATATATATATATATATATATATATATATATATATATATATATATATATATATATATACACACACTAAAGCTATAAATCCCTTAGAAGCGGTATGGCCGAGTCAAGGAAAAACCTTGACTCTTTGCGGGAGGAAAATACAGTGGAAGGGATTCTCATTGATCTCGCTCCGCAGCATGTAGTCGATTTTTATTACACGCAAGGGAACACGGAGGAGGTATTCTTGCCTCCCAGAGAGAGAGAGAGAGAGAGAGAGAGAGAGAGAGAGAGAGAGAGAGAGAGAGAGAGGTATAATTTTGAATTGCATTCCATATACCCAAACACAACTTTTTATTTTTTAAGTAGTGTTTATTATTGGAGTTCTTTTTTATAATTTGATAAAATACTGTAAAGGCTCAGAAGAAAAAATAGAGATCCTGTTTGTCCTCTGTGTTTATTAAACCTCTGTCTCTCTCTTGTCACATTACTACAATTTTTACTTTGTCACTGACATCTGGTTCTTGCCTACAGTATGTACTCGTATTGTACTTCACATCTGACAATCCACAATACTCCCCATCTCTGTTTTTCTCTTATGTATTCTTCGTGCCCAGACCATATGAGGGTAGCTTTATTTATTTCTCTATTTTATTTTATTTTTTGCCCGTCCTGGTGTCACAATCATAAAAAAAAATTTACACCTTTTCACTGGTTTGTACACTCTCTTAAATATGTAATTATGCCTTGCAAACCACTTCTCCCTGTAGCTTGTAGATTATTACACTCTGTACTGTATAATTGTTCCTTTTCACTATTTCCTTTTCATTGCCTGTAACTTATTTTCCTATTTATAGTCGTACCCATTCCTGCTACTTTGTACAGATCTGTATTTCCCATTGCTTTAGTCTATATACTTTTTCCTGTAGACTGTAAACGCCTCTTTTCATTGCCAAGAGCATTTACAGTACACACACTTCTGTATACTGTTTACATCTCCCTATTTCCATTTGCATTTAAATCAGCAGTATTCTGTTCTCTATCTGTGGAGGCGTTCTTTACATAAAGATTTTTGGTTGTTTTCGTAGAAGCGTTCTATACGATAAGAAAAAGTACAAACATGATCTCTGGTTGCGTTCTTTCTGTGGACTACCGGAAAATGTTAGTCATGCATTCTGGAATGGGCTAAAATGTCTCTTCATGCTTTGAAAGGTTCAACAATAGTCCCCGTTTTGGACAGCCGCCCCTAAAATGCGCTTTTATAAAATGTGGGCTATTTATAGGCCCCAATTGTAAACACTTTAAAGGAAGGAATGTTTCCTTCTTGTATTCGCATTTTTTTTTTTTTTTGCTTATTTATTTTTATCGTTATTATTTTCCCTTGTTTTTGTGAGGATTTCTTATCTGGACTCGGTATTCGCTATTGCCAAATATTTTATTTTATTTATTTGTTTGTTTGTTTTTTTATTATTTATTTTTCTTCCCCGTGTAGAATTATCAGAATGTTTTTTTTTTTTTTCAAACATTTCATTCTTATTGTTTCTTGAATGGAATCTCCAGTTATGCTGATTTGCAGTTTCTTGGTTGTTTTTTGTTTGTTTTGTTTGCCTTGTTTTGTTTATCACAATCAATGGAATGTATATTTTTCTCTTTTATTATTGTTGATTTTACTACATATCTGGAAAGTACTTATAAAAGGTTTTTTTATGAGTGTGACACCGGGAAAGGCAAAAAAAATTGTCCTCAATAGGCCCGAAGACGCAGAAATCATTAAGACAAAAAAATATAGAAGGTTAAGGACAAGGCAGAAATAAGGGAATGATGCACAATAGGAAAAGGAAAGGCTGAAATAATAGTTGAAGTACTGAGGATCCAGAGATATGGCAGGATTAGGCCCTGCGATGACGATAGATCCGCTTTTTGAAGGAAGATAGGTTATAAGACAAGACAGAAGGAGGAAGAGAGTTCCAGAATCTGGACATAGTTTTATGTATATAAAAGACTAAATAAACTAGAAATTTACTGCCTTGCTCTAGAATGAAGGAATTTTTTTCCGTGTTAGTTGTTCATAATCACGAAAAAAGTTTTGTATTTTGTGTGTTGCATTTTTTTAACCTTCAAGTTATTTTTAAATTCAGTAAACTCCGTTCCAAATTACCTCCATATTTTTCACACGCGCAAGCTATGAAAGGGACACACAATTTTCTTTGCAGTATGTCAGATTTTTTTTTTTTTTTTGTAATATTTTATGATAGGAATTTTCCTAATGGAGAAATTGTAAAAACTAATTGCATTCATAGTCTTAATGGAAATTATGAAAAATGTTGGATAGTTAGAGTTTATTAAAAAAAAAATCCCCAGGGAGGTGGCAATTACAAGCATGGTGCTCTTTCCCGTGAGCACAATCAGGTAAATTCAGTTAGGTAATAAAACACACACACACACACACACCGTATTTCCTTTTTCAATAGCATAAAGTTTTGTCAAATATCACCATCTATTCTTAGAAAGCTCTCTGGCGCTAAGTCATGAAACTGGGGATAAACCAGCTACGGCTGTCGGCCCTCACGGTAGAGATTCTTGTCCACCTAGCCTGCGATGACCCATGTAGGAGAAAAGTTTTATGAACATTGCGTACTCATTGAGATTGTTTGAGCGGACAGTGGCTACCATATAGGGGATGATAAATCCGACTCCTAGTATAGCTAGAGGTTCTGTCGAAGCGAAGCAGTAAGAACCCTCTCTAGGAGTCAAAGTAACGTCCCGATATGTGGGTTTTATCAATAAAGGCAATACTTAATTATATTTTTTAAATATATTTTTATTTATTATTAACTCTAGAGATTTCGAGATTAAATCCATGCATTTTATAATTAGATTTCAAAGAATTTTCTCATTTTTTAATGAATGTATTTGTTTTGTCTTTAATAATTTGCATTTATATCCCTTTCATAATAGTTCTGACGAGATCGCTCTCCCGATGTCTATCTTTTGTTTCCGTCCAATTGCTCACAGTATCTGTTTATCTGCCGGCTGTCTGCCTGTCATTTGCGTGATTTTTCCAATACCCACCACACACTGCTGTTTTGCTGCCTGTCTACCCAAATTCCTAGCGACAGGAGACAGTGTGTGTGTGTGTGCGGATTACCGTCAACCCTACTAAACAAGCCTTTTTCCGTGACCAATTGGGCGTGTGGATGACCTGACCTGACCCCACGCCACGCTGATGACCTCTATGTGGGAGGCCAATAGCTCTGTTGTCTCTTGTGGGAACTTCTTGTGGGTCTTTGACAACTTCATTTCAGGTCAAATGCAAATGAAGTTAGAACATGGTATTATAATTATTATTATTATTATTATTATTATTATTATTATTATTATTATTATTATTATTATTATCATCATTATTATTACTACTACTATTATTATTATTATTATTATTATTATT